GGGTGGTGGAAGGATTAAAAGAACATGGTAATTAATTTGACATTATAGACAGAAAAAAGTTGTGATTCTTCACATGTTGCATTATGGAAACATTATTCATGCCATAAGTTGGTGATAGGATTATTATATACCATCACATGCATTAAACTTGTTAAGAGCTCATTGACCTATGTAGCATCAATTTCCGTAGGTTGGTTATGTTCTATTTAGCTCATTGCATTTCAGATCTTATTACCAGTTTCATTCTTTGAAATGATTACATTTCATTTTATGGTTTATATTTATTGTAAGTTTCTCGTATTTATTTTCCTAATATATAGAATCTGTGAATTATATTTTGTTTTTTAATCTTTTGGCTAGTTTGCTAATATTACAATTGCTTTCCTAAGTATGAGTACTGGAAGATGTAAAATATTTATTTTGTTGAGTACTTGAATGGTGATTAGATATGGGTTTACAAGAAAACAACAGAAGAGAAGATTCCAACTTTAAAGAAATATTCTGATAGAGCCCCTCCAACTGATAAATTTGCCACACACGAGGTCAAGGTAGATTATCAGTACAAACGTGTTGAAGATCCTAATAAATTTGTTCCTCCAGAACAACGGATAAAAGGTTATCGTTATGGACCTCAAGTTGTTCCTATCTCATCTGCTGAATGGGATGCTGTCAAGTTCAAACCAGAAAAGAGTGTGAAGCTTCTAGGATTTACAGATGCTGAGAACATTATGCGGTAACGCCTTATCTGCTTTGATTTGGATGTGATTAGTTTCAAATTCAATGTATCAGTTGAAACAGTGTCTGATTAATTTTTCTCCCCGTTTTGGCCTTGACCCGGACATGAATACATTAAAGGCACTATTATATGAAAGATGTCAATATTTTCATTCCTGAACCGGGAAATACAAGGGCCATTCTTGCTGTTTCTGCCCTAGCAAGAGCTATGAAAGAAGCTAATAAGGTAGCAATTGTACGTTGTGTGTGGAGACAAGGTCAAGGAAGTGTTGTTGTGGGGGTCCTGACACCAAATATATCTGGTCGAGAAAATATTGTAAGTTTGCAAGACTTGAAATATGCGGGTTTGTGTTTTCCTGGCAACTTGTGCATTTGTCAACTGTTTCTTTTTCTTTTCAAGGTTTTGTATTCACTGTTGATCTGATGTGTTTTCTGGTTATTTGCATGAACAGCCTGATTCATTTTACTTCAACGTGCTTCCTTTTGCTGAGGATGTCCGAGAATTTCAGTTCCCCTCTTTCAGCAATTTCCCAGATTCGTGGCTGCCAACTGAACAACAACAAGAGGCAGCGGATAACTTCGTACGGATGTTTGATCTTGCACCTCCTGGAAAAGAGGAAGCTCTGCCGCCTGACCTTACACCAAATCCTGTGCTGGAGGTATTCATTTGTAAGATCTTCTTTTGGCACAGATTTATTCTCTCGAGTCTCTTGGTTCCTTCATTCCTTTTTATAGTTAAGCATATATGCTCCTACATATATTCTCCAATAAAAACAGAACCATGCTCTGATATATGGTTATTTCTTGAATAATAATTTTTGCATATTTTGTGGTTTCAAGGCTATGGATATGCTGATTTTCATTTGCAAAATGCTTATTAGTATTAGTATTATTTTGTTTTATTTTTACTGAATTATCCTTTTCAGAACTGCAATTTATTTGAGAGCTTTTCTGGAGATTGATCAAGGAGAGTTTGCTCGAGGCCTTTTGCCTCTTAATATTTGCTTTCGTGGCCTGTAAACGAAACTGAACTTGTTGTTTGTGTTCAGCGTTTCTATCGTTGTCTCGAGGTGAAATGGAATAACCCAGATGCAGCTGTACCTCCACTTGATGAAACTCTTAGGAAGATCACTGAATCCGATCCAGAACTTCTTTCTCACAATGAGTCTGTTCTTGATGAATTTCGTAGAGCTTTTGAACTCAAAGAAAATTTCAAGTAATTTAAAAATCTCAACACTAGTATAGTAATGTCCGGCAGGGAGGTTCGCGAGTACACCAATCTCAGCGACCCCAAAGGTTTTTTTTTTTTTTTTTTTTTTTTTTTACTCGAGCATTTTAAAAGTTTTGTTCCGTATCACCAGTTGGATTAGAGTTTAAAGTTTGAAGTATGATATGTTTTGCAGCTCAAGGGGTCATCTAGACAGTTATTACGAGAAAAACCTTCCGGATCAAACGGGGGTGAGGATTGTGCAATGATTCATGTTCAGTCTGCGAATCGTGATACTAATGAAGCTACATCTTCAATCAAGATTGAGAAAGTTGGAGATATAACTCCTATCCAAGATTTTGAAGCCATGATCTCACGAAGGGATGGTCCAAATTGGGTTGATAAAGCCATTACAGAAATGAAAAACAAGATATTTTACTTAGTGGAGGACTCGTACGACGGCGATAATTATCCTAAAGCGGCAGAATGTTTAGTAGCCATTCGGAAGGCTTGTATCCTTGAGCAAGTATGACCGCTTCTCTCTCTGAATACACCACAACAAATATAGATCAATGTTGGCATTTTCATATTAACTGAATTTGTCCTGTGCAGGAACCAAAACAATTCAATGATTTTCTGCGCCATCTTTGCAAATTCTGCAAGGAGAAAAATCTCAGAAGTTTTAATGAATTCCTTGCAGCCAAAGAACTCACCTTGATATCTAAGTCAGAAGCCCCAGACAGGTAAAACTTCTTAGTTTGCTTCCCTGCTGTGGAAGTTCCTCTTCATTTAATTTACTTAATTCATTTTTTTTGTGGTTTTTGGCACCCCAGATTTGGTTTTTCCTATTTTAGCAGTCATTTAATTGTGCTTCAACTTGTTTTCCTAAGCAGTGAAGTTACCGAAGACGAAGCTAGAAGTTTTGTGGTTAAATCGGAGCCAATGTTGGAATAAAGACTTTTGAGTGGATCGCTTGCATCTTCTGTTGAGTTTGTATCGTCCTCTTTCATGTTTGGATTTGGTCTAGGATCAACATTAGAGAGCTGCTTGGATGGCATTAACCCGAATTTTGTTAAAAACACGCGGGGATTAATCGCAAATACACTTCGAGGTTCGGGTTCCAGGATTTGCTTCTGTATTGGAAGGTCTTTCTGGAATCACAGGAATGGCGTTTTCTTTGGGATAACGCAGAGGAAATGCAGATGGCTGATCTAAGATACTTGCTTTCGTGGTGTAAAGGTGGGGTTTTAGTTTGTGTTTTGCTGCTATTTATTTCAGTGTCTATTGTATATTCTTTTCCTTTTTTGGTCTTTTATTAAACTGGTTTTATATGGGTATATTGATTTACATATTACTGATCTTTTTTTATTAAAAAAAAACTGATCCTTCTTTTTCTCGCCGGAGAAAAAAACTGATCTTTCCTTTTCCTTGCAAAAAAAAAAAAAAAATTTAAAAATAAAACTGATATTTCTGTTGCTGTAGAATTATATTCCAAGAACTTGCTAAAAGTAAGTTTGGGAAACTTAGGACTCAAAACGTTAAAGATGAAAAAGTCAGTTGAAAAGCATTTAAAAATTTTTAAATTACGTTGATAATACGTTGAAGGTAGACGCTATTTCGTGCACAATCTATAAAGTGATTATTAGTTGAACATCTGAAATTAATAACATAGCTGAACAAATAATATATATATATAAAAGCACGAAAAGGGTTAATAATCTTTTTGCTACTTTCCATACTTTCTCCGTCACATCCATCTTCTTTCTCACCTTCATCGAGTTTCTATTGTCAATCATCTCACAATTTTCTCTCCGTTTATCTCTGTTTTTCCCTCCTTTTCTATTTTTTTAAAATGCTCTTTTCGGTCTTTTTATTGTCATTTTCTAGCTGCCACTCTACTTGAAGAAGAAAATTTTGCGACTAAATTAAATAATAGCAATTATTTTCTTCAAAAAGAAGTAATAAAAAAAGCAAAAATTAAATAGCAGTTTTACGAAATAGAATTAATTAAATAACAAATTTTAAAATATTTAAAGTTAATAGCAGTAAATTTTTTTTTTACCACATAAATTTTCTATTTACAACTTATGTAAATTTTTAATTTACTGTTGTTTATTTGTTTATTTTAAATAACTTTAGAATTTACTATTTATTTTAATTATTTAAGTACATGTGCTATTTACTTCATTCTCCTTTAAAAAAACAAGCACAAAAAGAGTTTGGAAAAAAAAAATCTAAAAATAAAGGTCCCGTTCACTTCGCTGATTCGAGTTTAGAATTCGAGTTGAGATGTGATTTTATGTGAGAACTTTTTACTGTAGTAAAAAAGTTAGATGTGATTGTTTGTGAGAGTTTTTTACTGTAAAAAAACTCGAATTCTAAACTCGAATCAACGAAGTGAACGAAGTCGAATTTCTAGATTAAAATCGTTGAGGGAAGGAGAACAAGGGAAAAAAAAAAAAAAAGAAGGAAAAGACAATAATCCTTTTTTTCACGTGGGATCGGAAGGATACAAGCGAGGTACACTAATGACAGTCTATTCTAGAAATGGTGCAGACTGGTCCTCTACTTTTTTTCTTTTTAAAGAAAAAAGTTGCTATTTTCCTATCCAATATTTTAATTGTGAATAATTAAACTTTTTTAATTAAAATTATAGAATTTAAATTGCGGTGATTTAAACTGTGATTCGAACTGTTATTTATATATGAAAAAAATTTATAATTTAAATTGGAAATAAAATTTGAACTGTATTTAGATAAAGTGTTAAAAATTATCATTAGAGTTTTGTAATAAATCTTATAAAACTTCATATAAATGACATTAAAAAATATGTAATATGGGTATGGATTTGTTTCTCTTTGCATTATGAACACATTAAAAAAAATCATTTCAATCGGAATTAAAACGAATAAGTTATGACATTTTTAAGATTGACATTAGAGAGAGAGAAAAAGTAGAATCTGAAACTATTGAACTCTTAAATAACAATTCGAATTGTAAAAATTTAAGGGGGAAAGTAAATTCTAAAATCAATAATTTGAGTTATCCTTAAACAATTGTCAATAGTTTAAATCTTAAATAATAGTTTGAGTTGTTGAAATAAATAGGGGCATTATTTCCTGGAGTATCTTTTCTTTCTTTGATTAAGTAGATAAAATTCCAGTACAAGCAAAAAAACAAAAAAAAGAAAAAAGAAAAATAGACAAAATTCTTGAATGCTCTCATTTTTAATGATGTCGAGGTTCAAGAAAAATGGGAATTTTATAATAGGATATGAAAAAAATACTCTATCAGTAGAGCTCTTTTGAACTGTTAAAATTATATTTGATTTTATCAGTTTTATATAAATTTTTTTAATTTAATGTGATTTTAAGTTAATCTAACTTTCAGAACCTACATTTATGAGTAGAGATAAGAAAAATTAACAATAATAAGGGAAAAGAGTTCACACTATTACCTTCTTTTTTAACTACTGTTCCTTTTCTTAAGAAAAAAATTCTTGGAAAAGAAGAATTTTCTTTTTTTGTTTGTCAGAAAAGAAAAAGAAGAATCTTCAGTGTGTGAAGGTTTGGTCTTATGAAGGCCCATATAAACACACGCCTTCAAATAAAAGTTCTATGTCTATGTGTACTACTTGTTTTGTGTATATACAGATATTTATTTGTATAATTTAAGTCATATTACTAATTGTGGTATTGTATAATCATAATCCTTTAGTATTTTTTAATACGACGATCGCGATTTCTGTTGCCATTGAAAAGATGTTACTCCAAGCCCCACCAAAATGTTTGGTGATGGCAAGACAAAATTAATTTTAGATGGTTGTATTTACTCTCTATACACTTTTTTTAAATTCACACCCTACATAATTTTAAAGGCATTAAGTCACACTTTTATTATTCTAAAATTAACTTTAATTTTAAAGGAGTGTGTAAAAAAATTTAATTTAATTTAGTTTAATTATGTTGAGTGTATAGTTAAAAGGGAGTGTGAAAAGTAAAAAAACGAGTGTGAATATAATTACCCATAATTATTTAAATATATGGGTTTTATGCACTTAAAAAGAAGAATTATACAAGTTTAGCATGTGTGTATTTAATTAATTGTGATAATTTTTCTTCCGACAAAAAAAAAGAAAGTACAGAATAAGTTTTGATATTGTACACTTGTGACCTTTAAGTTTTAATAGTTCAATCACATTAACAAAAGTATATAGAGGTGACAAAATTCTATTAAAATCTAAAAGTTTAGAAGAAAAAAAATTTGCCGATGAAGTATTTTTATACCCTATCACATAACTTTTTGAAAACAACATTCAAGAAGATTATTTAACGTAAAACAACAATAAATAATGAGATACAAAGAGATATTATTGTATGGATAGGTCATCATGACAAAAAAAAAATTGTTTTTTTGGAAGAAAAGTAAAATAGAATTTTCTTTTTACAGTGATTACTTTATAAGTTTGCTATTTAACTTATTTTAAGAACATTAACAATGAAATGCTATAATTAATGTAGTAATTATAAATTTAGTATTTGAGTGTAAAAAATATTCTCCAATATAATACTATTTGTTGTGTCAAATTTCTCATATGCTATATTTTGTGGTAAATTTTCCACCAAGCATAATACATAAAAAATTTAGAATTTAATTGCTATTGGTTAAAATATTTACTTTTTTATGCAATCATTGCAACTTTTATATTTTTAATTATTTTTAAAACAAAAGTTTACTTTTACAACTTTTAAAATTTAATAATTATAGAATTTCTCTAGTGTTCTGACTTTTTAAAAATTTTTCTTTCTATTTTTACATGTTACTTAAGTCCCATAACAAAAGATTTGTATGTCTTTATGTATGCATATTTTTTTTTTAGTTAAAATATATAGAAAGTGGATGAGAATGTGAAGTGATTTATATACATAGAAGGACTCAAGACCTAATAGGTTAGCCTTTTAAATCAAGTTAGACTTTTAAAGTGTGTTGGGTCAGTTTCACGTGCGGTGTCTATATATATAGACACACGTAGGATATTGGAATTTGGAACCGGAAACAATCCCTACTTCTTCACCATCTACATATCATTCCAAGAAAGGGCAGCATTTATATCTCACAGAAACACAGCCAAACTTGCCATCAAGTATGGAGACTCCAACCTTGCCCAAATCCGTGGAGTCATTGCCTCGGACGAGAAGCGCCACGAGGCTGCTTACACCAAGATAGCCTCCAAGCTTTTCAAGCTCGACCCAAACGACATCGTTTTGGCCTTCGCAAACACCACGATGAGGAGAACCTCAATGCCTGCTCACTGTAAGCATGATGGATACGACAACAATCTCTTTCACCATTTCTGTAAGGTCACCTCTTGCATTGGCGTTTACACTGCCACTGACTATAGAGAGATTTTGGAACACTTAGAGGACGTTTCGTATGCAATAATCCTGAAAGTGAGAATGAGAATCTTATAAATTTATATGTTTGGTACAAGAATTGAGATTTTTTTATTCTCAAAAAATCAATCCTATGGGATTCACTTTATCTCGAAATAGGGTAATCTAGAGGTGTCAAATAGGCCGGGCCGTCCATGGACGGCCCCGCCCATCTTGTAATAGTGCCGGATTCAGCACGGCCTGATTCGCTACTGTTACGGGCCGTGCCGGCACGGCACGTGTAATGGGTTAGGGCTGGGCCTTAGCTTCTCAGCTCGCAGCCCAAGCACGGCCTAAGTACGTGGAGGCCCGCAGCACGACCTTTGTTCGGCCTGGCCCAAGCCCTGATTAGGCCCTTGTTCGGCCCGGCCCAAGCCCGCGAAACGGCCCATGAAACATCCCATTTCATTTTGTCTAGGGGGCCCTTCGCGGGCCCAACGGGCGGCACGTGACGGCCTCCCGTTTGGCCCGTCACGTGCCTCCCGTTTGGCATGTGACGGGCCAAACGGGAGGCCCGTCACGTGCCGCACGTTGGGCCCGCGAAGGGCCCCCTGGACCAAAGGGGTGGGGGTACTGGTCATCTGGATAGACATTGGAAAATATGTCTCCCGTTGTACCAAGGTGGGAGTGTGGACTCCCGCCAACAAACACTATCACTCACATCACAGGGGTTGCAAAATTTTACATACGATGCACAACGTGCTCTTGAGGCACTAGCTAAATTTCTAGCTAGTGCCGAATTGCCTCTTTCTTTTGTAGATGATGCCTCGTTCGAATAATTCATCCAGACAGCTTTTTGCCCACAATTTAAACGGGTAAGTAGAAACATAACTCATTCTGATTGCATGAAAGTTTTTTATGCAATGAGACAATCTCTTGTTGATAATTTTAAGACTTTTAATGCCACTGTCTCTTGCACTTCTAATCTGTGGGAGGGGTGCAATAAAACTAGATATTTATGTGTCATAGCGCACTACGTTGATGACGATTGGGCTTTACAAAAAAGAATAATTGATTTTCGTTTATGTCCATATCCTCATAACGCAACAGCTATTTTTAGTACAATAATGGAAATTTTTGGCTTTTATGGGATAAAAGATAAAGTTTTAACAATTACTTTTGATAATGCGTTAGCTAATACATCTGCAATTAATTTGTTTAAACGTAGTTTGAAACCAGCATTTGGAGGGGAAATATTTCATCAACGGTGTGCATGTCACATAATTAATTTAGTAGTTCAGGCAAGAATTGAACATATATCAGCTAATCTTACAAATATTAGAGAATCATTATCATTCATATCTAGTTCTGGAGCTCAGCTCTAAGAATTCAAATAATATTGCAGGAACAGCTAGATGCGCCCAAGAAAGTTTCCAACTGACGTGAGAAATAGGTGGAATTCAACATATTTAATGTTGAAGGCAGCACTCCCGTATTCACAGCTTATCACGACATACGTAAACAGTAAGAACAATCAAATTTTAATTTTCGATCCTGATTAGCCGATTGCTGAGTATTTTTTTAAATTTCTAGAAGTTTTTTACAATGCTACTGAATTACTTTCTGAAGTTTATTATCCTACTGCACATTTAGCTTTACATCAACTATTTAATATTTCAGAAACATTTTCTTATTATAGGGATACAAAACTTTTTGGAAATATAGTTAACTTAATGAAAAATAAATTTAAAAGTTATTGGTCAGGTTGTCCTATGTTATATGCATGGGCAACCATTTTAGATCCTAGGTGCGGAGTAGATGGAACTGAATCATTGATGACTGCTACCGCAAAGAATTTAGAAATAGATATGCAACTATGTATTACTGACGCTAAGAAAATGTTAGAAAAAGTTTTTAGTTTGTATGAAGCAAAATATAGCACAGGTAAAAAAGAACAGGGAACTTCGTCGTCAACTACCAGTTTGGGGCCTAAAGGATCGTCGTGGAGTTTCTTGAAGAAGAAAGAGAAAACGTCAGGATCGTCCTCAACACAAACGTTTACGGAACTAGTCAAATATTTTGAAGTAAATCTTATAATCGATGACGACAAACTAGACATCTTACAGTGGTGGAAGAGCAAGACCGATCGTTTTCCAACACTGTCCATAATAGCTCGTGACATTCTTACAATTCCAGTGTCAACGGTAGCATCAGAGTAAGCTTTTAGTGCAAGCAACCAAATTCTTAACGAGAAGAAAAGAAGAATGCATCCAAATATCTTGGAGGGACTAATGTGCGTTAAAGACTGGGAAGATGCTAGAAGACGAAAACAACAATACACAGATGATTCGATGCAAGAATATTTTTCTAACTTAGAAATAACAGAATCTTCTAGAAGCACTTAGGTTTAGAATTTACTATTCCTAGCTACTGCACTCTTTTTTCCTTCGCTAAGGTTTTGTCCTGATCTCCCCACGGGTTTTACTTAGTAAGGTTTTTAACGAGGTAGTCATTTATGTGTACTCCTATTACGTCAATTCAATAAAATCACATCTTTTAGGGCATATGAGATATTTTTTTAATTAAATTTTAAAAAAAATACAAGGGCCGGGGCCGGCCCGTGAAGGGCCTGGGCTAGCCCGTGAAGGGCCTGGGCCCAGGCCCGGCCTTGGCCCTTATGGACTAGGGCCAAGGGCCTGGACTAGGGCCAAAGGCTTAGACCGGGGCCAAGGGCTTGGACCGGGGCCTGAGTTTTTCCTTTCAGGCCCGGCCCAGGCACAGCCTAGGCCCGTAATGGGCCAGGGGTCAAGCGTGCCATGCCGGCCCAGCACGACACGTTTGACAACACTAGGGTAATCTCAATCCCACTCAATATGTTATTCATTTTTCCGGGAATGTGATTACCATACAAAACTCAAAAAATTTATGACTTAAACAAAAGAAAAGACAAATTTAATCAAAATTCATTCACTGTTCAAAGCCTCACCAAGACCCAAGACACTGTCGCATATCAACCACAATTGTAGCCCCACCTCGTCGGCCTCCGACCATTATCGAATCATATTTATGAGAATCTCAGCAAAATACCCAAACTTACAGCCCACCTACACCACCATCACCATAGATCTTAACTTGCTCAACACCACCACCAAACTTGCAGACCTGTCCCCAATACTCATCTGTCGGCCACCAGCTATCATCTTCACACCCCCATAGCTCATGTCACTGAGAAAGACTACGTCGTAGGCCCCCTTCCCCCTTCAATCGCATCCCTTCTGTGCCAGCCCAAATCTGATTTAAGTTTGTAAGGGGAGAGATCTAATTTGAATATGTTTAGGAGAGAGAGAGAGGGAGAGAGAGATAGAGATAGAGAGGGGTGAAGGAAATAGAGGGATTGAGGAGAGAGAGTATAGCCCTTTTTTTCCTTTTTTTTGTTTATATAATTTTAAATTGATTCTAACTATTTTTTTTTACATTTTTAATATTTTAAATTTGAAAAAAAAAACAGACATCAAAACCATAATAATCTGTTTAAGAAATTTCACTAGCAAAAGTATTTAATAAATTATAATTAATTTTAAAATGGTTGATTATATAAGAAAATTTACATTATTGTGCTTACAGTAAAATAATATTTTGATGTAGATTTTGATGTGTTACTAAACGTGATAATGCATGTTTTTTAAAAATTATATTATTTTCTATCACTTTTTCAGTAATATGATTCCTACTGATTACTCCATTGCCAAATGCTTTTTGGTGGCAAAATGAAATGTGGAGAAGCTAACTGGGCTTTCTAGTGAAGGGAAACAGGCCCATGACTATGTTTGTGGCCTGGCCCAAAGGATGAAGGGGGTGGAGACGGTAGCCCAGATGAAGGCCCATGAAGCAACTCCTATTCCTTTCAGCTGGATTTGCAACGGGCTGGTGTAGCTCAACCGGAACACGAGAAAATTATCAGCCCTGTTTGTTTCTGTTTTTGTTTTAATTTTTTTATGTTTTTCGTGGCTAAAAATTAAAAACGCGGGTGAAAAATGCGTTTGGTGCAAAATGTTTAAAAAAACAAAAACAAAAACGTTTTTGTCATTTTCTGAAGAATCTGAAAACGCAAAAAAGTCGTTTTCATTTTCTCCGTTTTCGTTTTCCTTCCCATTTTCTACCGTGTCCTCTTCCTCTTCCCATTCTTCTAAAAGTTCTCAGAACCTTCCCCAATCTCTCATCGGCTCTCACTCCACCTATTTCGCCGGCCTCCACCTCTTTCCCCGTCGTTTTCCATTTTCTGCCGTGTCCTTCATTTTCCTCTTCCCATTCTTCTTCTGTTTCCTCGACCCTCTCTCTTATCCGAAGTCTCTGATCTCCCTCGACCCCGCTCCTCTCCGATCTGAGACGACCCCCATATTCTCCGTTCTAAGGTTGTTGGATTTTTACAAAAACATCTCTAGTCAACCCATAAACACATAACCCATAAAAAATTCATCAAAAGCATGACCCTTCTAATACAAGAAGAACACCTTAACTTGACTGCTGTACAAGTTGGCCTCTTAAATTTGGGTTTAAACTTAGAATTTATCAAGAAAAATCATGGTTTTCTAGGAGGTTTCTCTTAGGTCCGAATTTTCTAGCTCAAACCCTTACTCTTATGTCTTCTACTTTGGAGAGAGGAGAAGAAGTTTGAGTAGATATTTTTTTTTCTGGTCATAAGCTGCTGAGGAGTAAAAAAATTGGTGGTGTTAAACGGTGGTTGGTGGCTGAGTCATTAGTTAATATGTAGGTGGTTTGGCATTTTTCTAGCTTGATGAACTAAATTCTAACTTTGACAATTTAAAAAAACTGAAATAAAAAATTAAACCACCAAACGCAGTTTCAATTTTTCTTAAAATTGAAATCAATCTCTAAATAAAACTACCAAACGCATTTTCAGAAATAATTCCAAAATAAAAATGAAAACGTTTTCATTTCCATTTTTATACAAAAAACAAAATCATTTTGGAACCAATTCCAAACGCAACCATTAGTTTTGGAGAATTTTGTTTCGGTACGGTATCAAAAAAGATATTTTATCAGTACTACTCTGTATTTGGCAGTCTATGAGTAAATCA